AAAAATATTAAAACTATAAAGATCCAAATAACAAATGTCATATAGTCTTGTTAAAATTATAGAAACTGAACACATTGAAAGAAAATTACAAGAAAAATAAAAAATTTAATAAAATTATAGAGACTAGTGATTATGTTTTTTCTAATTTATAAATGTAAACCAGTAGGAAAATAAATAAAAATGAGAAAAGAATATTTCTGCTTCTAATCTAAAGAATTTAAAAAAATTTAAAATTAGCTGAAAATATTGAAGCTTTCAAAAAGTTAACTTATCAAACCTCTCCGTTTGTGTGTGTGTATATATATATATAAATCAAATTTACCTTTTTAATAAAAATGAGTTAAAGCATATTTTAGCTTTGGAAGCATTCTGTAATTGATATGATACAATTTTATGATATCTTAATAGTCACCATTGAACCCAAAAAATCTATGGACACATCTTAACGGTTGACTTAATATTTTTTTTAATACACGTTCACGAAAACTCATGTAAGTAAAAAAATTATCCAATCATATCAAAATATATGATATTTCTACATTTAGAAGGCAGCTTATCAAAAATCATTAAGTCAAAATTATTGTTGAATGCTTAGAAAGCAAGTGGATCAGTATATTTATTTGCTTTCTTGAACACATAATTAAAAGTAATTGCCTGATCTTTTATAATAATGGTTGACTTAAAATTGAGGCAACATTACACAAATGTTAAAAGATTAAATATTACATTGCTCTTAATTTTTTTTAATTGTCTCTATAACTCTCTTAGCAATACTTTTATTGTATGACAAAAAAATTGCTATTTAACACTACTAAAAATTCATCTATTTCATTTTTAATTTGTTATACTGCCCTCACTTGATGCACTTTTCTCCTCTTCTCATTTTTTGTACTAAGACACCCACGCACGAACACACACACACACACACACAGTTACACATATACATGCCATGCACTGATGATCGTGAATTAATTCAAGTTTACCCTCTCATGACTTTACATTTATACATATCCAACCAAACGTGAGTCATGAACTTTGTGATAATTTTATTAGAAAGTAACAGCAATTCAGTTTTATTATCTTTTTTGCAAATTGGAATCATTTAATTTAATGTCACTCTAAATTAGAATACTGATTCAAAAGGAACCTTAAGTCACTGAAGGATCCATATTTATGTGGAAGATGATAAAAGAGGGAGAGAGAGCTACAACTCACTCCATCATACAAAAAGGACAAAATATAATCTTGTAAATTAAAATATCTTTTAAAATATTAAAAACATCTCAACTTTTTCTTATTTATTCAGTTAAATGACTCAACTTATTTTGGATGAATTAATTCTAAGCATAGGCCGATTACTTCCAAAAAGTTTAAATTTTATTTGGTAATTAATTTGACTGTGCTAAATGCTAATCTACACATGACAAAAAAAAAATTTAATCCAATCATTGAACAATTTAAAATTTACCTATTATTTTAATAATCATGTTAAAAAATTTTACAATTGAGAGATTAATTTCAATATTCTGTGTTTTAAGTTGCACGAATACTGATACGCATATACATCTATGCTTTAATTTTTAAAGATATAAGATACAATACATTTTCAATACGTGTATATATATTTATAAAAAATATAATTTTAATTTAGAAAATATTCAAATTAGCATATATATATATATAATCCTATATAACAATACCAAATAAAATATAATTATTAATTATATTTTTATTATATCTATACCTAATTGCTTATCACTTGGTACTAATAGGTATAGTATCAATATCTCCTCCTTCTCAATTATTATAAGGTTAAATTTCCACATTTTTTAATTAAAAAAATGTAATATTTATTCTTTTATTACATCCAAGACTTATTTTTTAAAGAAAATCTAATTTTTGACTTTGAAAGAAAATCAAAAAATAATATTAGTAATAAAAAGTTTAATATTGCAAGTTTTAATAAATTTTTATTTTTTAAATTTTTATTTTTCAAGTATCCATTAGCAATCTAGAAATATCAAAAATTTAATTTTTTTTAAATTAAACAAAATAGTATTTTAATACTTTATGGATACATATCAAAAAAATATCAATGAATATCGGTATTAGATATGATACAAATAAAGATACGTCAGGTAATTTAAAGTATCAATGCTTTATAATCTATGTTTCACACTCTTTAATTAAACTAAAAAATATAAAAAATTAGAGAGAGAGAGAAAGGGGGGGTTAAAGGGCATTTTTGTCCCCTCAACTATTCGCTCAAAAACATATGGTATACTAAACTTTTATACGATACAATTTTATTCTTCAACATTTGAAAATGATGCATTAAGCATCTTATTGTTAAAAAAGTTAAATTTAACTGTTAATTAACTTAAAAATTTCAGAAAATGACTTATAAAATTTTCTGTAAATACCCTATAAAAAGTTAATATTATTATGGAAAAATATTACTTTTGGTTCCCGTATTTTGCTTGAGTTTTGCTATAGATTTTTGTACTCTATTTTCAATGTTTCAGATTCCTACATTATTTTTCATTTGCAACATTAGTTCTTGCATTTTCAGAGAGATGTTGACATGATATAAACGGTGTTAGTAATGCTAACATGTTAATTAACATTGTTAATTTTGTACTTACATGTCTAATTTAGTATATCTAGAGAATGACTTTAGTATATTTATTTAATGAACTTAAATGTCATGTAGTGGTACTTGGATATGGTAGAGAGTCAACACGGCAACAAGTTTATAAAACTCATTTCTTTGAATCAAATTAAAGAAAATGTTTGAGAAATTGCCATGTGCTCTCCTCATTCCTCAAAGCCCCACGGTAACAGTATTATAGGCTATTGGAAATTTAATCTAACTCAATTTAATAAATAAGTATTATGATATAGTAATAGGATCAACCCTTCTCATTTGAATTCCCAAGATTCCTTGATGCTCACGCTTAAGAAGCACAAGTACTCACAAATTATAAAAGCGTTATAAAAATATGGGATGAGTTTGAGTGCAATTGCCACCATGAAATCAAGCAAGTTAACTTATACTTCCTCTGCTAATTTGATGTTTTGAGGGGAAAAAAAATTCATTTTACCCAAAAAAGAAGAAGTAATAATTCATTAATAAAGCTTATTCAAAGTGTTATTCCTTATTATTTCAATCTTTAGATATCTTTCTTTCTCTCCCTTATTAAATGAAAGTATTTTTGAAAATTTATATTTATTTTTGAAAAAATTAAAATTCCAAACCATATTTAACTGACTTCATCGGTATTTATAATTTTACCAAAAACGTGTTTTATAAAATAGCAAACTTATGATGTAATGGTTCTTCTCTTCTCCTCAGGACCTGTAACTTTGATACTCCCCACTCATAAAAACAAAGGCCTATTCGATTCAACAAACAGTGATGCCAAAACAAAAACATCAAAAAACAAGTCTTATTTCATCAGAGGTAACATCGACCAGTGAATTGCACGATGTCAAAGCAATAATTGAATAAAAACTCAAGCGATCAAAGACTTAACAGAAGATTCGAAATACATAAACATCAATATAAAATATTACACCAGGCTTTGTGTACAAATAACATGACAATACACTACCATGGACAGTTCAGAGCAATTCAAAGATGAAATCCATAAATTGACAAGTCATGTGGTGAGGTAGTACAAAATATTAAGTGATATAGAAGAAAAAAATAACATATTCTAATCCTATTTATAAATTACTTTCAGTATAAATCAATAGAATTAAGAAAAATATTAAATCTCATTAATTCTATCTAAAAATTTAATAAATTTTTAACTTTATCTCTGTCAAATATATATACTTTAAAAATAAAATACTCTAATATTTAATAATTTTTTGGCATTTATAAAGGTGAAAGGATAAAAATAAATAGAAAAATTATAAAAATATTTTATAAATAAGATCAAAATAAAAAATTTCTCTCCCTTTGTCCAATAAAGAAGACCAGGAACACGATGGGCAACAGCAAGGGATAAGACATTGCAGTGAACGAGTGAGATATGAGATAAGAGTGAGTGCTTGATCTGCTTTTGTCAGATTACGAACAAAAGAAGGAAAAGCATGACTAGTGAGAAAGATTGATGATGAGATAAGACTATTAGTTGAAATGTCAATGAAATATTCACAGTAATGTTTAGTGAATATTATTAGCCTCTGCATAATTTGCACACTTGGGTAGCTTCCACGTCTGTTCTCAAAGGCTGTGAACTGGGGACAAGTTATCACGGAGAGCAACAGGAACCAGTAGTCTTGTAAGGGTTTACGTCAAAGATAAGCCACAAGGACATTCATAACAATAATGAATGGTCATGCGTTGGCTAATGGCCGTCATGTACAGTACATATCCAATCGGTCCCATGACACAGGAATATCAAGATTTAATACATGTCAGATGCATGTATTTTTCTCTACATTACATGGAATTTGAAACTTATATATATTATGCAACTCGCTATGAATATTTACTATATATAAACCGTACACTCATTTCCTATCCATAACACCAAACCTAACACTATTGGTGGCTTGTAGATATTGCAACTGCTCAAGATTTTATTTTGAAATACTGATTGATTAAAGCAAGAAAAAGGAACATGTTTACATTTTTTTATGGAAAACATAACTACTAATTTATATACTTCTAACATGTTTTCATATTGACCCTTATATCCTTTTTTCACTTACTCCAAGTTCCTTAAGTTTATTCTAAATGCAAAATTAATCATTATATTTTTAAATATGACCAAAATGACTTAACTATTAATGAGTTGTACATAAACATTATTACTTCTTGTATTGACTCAATAAAATTATAATGAGCTGCATAAAAAAAAAAGTATAAGGCAAAAAATAAGAACTAAGCATGACATTAAATCATAAACACACAAGTGATGAAACTTCAAAAGCAGGAAGACACGACAACTAGGACAAACATATAGGAAAATTAGTAACCATTTTACTTATAGCATCTAACTCATCATAATTTTATTACCTCAACAATATAAATAATAGTTATATTGACATCAAGAGATTTAACTCCCATGAAATTCAAGGGCCTTGAAACAACTGAAAAAAATATAGAAACTAATGAGGGTAACAGTTGTATTTTCCTTCTTTTTTTTTTATATACATAAATACTCATTTTTCCCACTTGATGGAATTAGTACAAGTCTAGGTATCATAATTTGTCTTGAGGAATTCATGCCTGAAGCAAAGACGCCAAGGGATAAGAAAATAACACACAAAATCCATGGATATCCACTTTGTGTTACCAAATCCCACACCTTTTTCCCAATCAATCTGTGTCACAGTTTACAACAACTTCCTCTGACATTTTACAACGAGGAATAAGGAGCCCAGATCGTCGTGTCACTAAATGTTGATGTCTAAGACGCTGAAGCCTTCCTCTGTTGGTCTGACATAGCTTGCAATACTTTCAATTACAGAATGATGTTTAGCCACCTCGGGAAGTGCTATGTAGCGTGAACCAAGTGCTATAATGCTTATTATTTTCTCACAACTGCACAAGAAATCAATCCCACTAACGTCGTGAATTAATTGAGCAAATTGTGACATGTCTAAAGCAGACGAAAGTTTAATGTTGGGAAAACTGTGTGAGTTCTTCAAGTATTTGTTATCTTGTTAATTTTTAAAAAAAGAACATAACATCTAGGGGAACATTTTTGAGTGCCTTAATCATATGATGTTCAGCATAAAAAATATCGACATGTTTTTTGGCAGAAAAACCCCATTTTGGTCCTTGACAGACTCCGTGAATGGATCATTTCTTTCAATTTAGTCCCTTAAGCATCAAACTGCTTACTATCGTATCCAAGAATCTTACGTTTGTACAGCCTACACTTGTCACAACTTAAACTTCAAACAGCCCACTGCTAGAGTCAGCCTTGGTCTTCCTTAGTATTAATTGATATTCCCCAAAAGGATTGATTTTATAATGAAGCAAGCTAATTCATACGCAGAAAAAATAGGTGAATATAGTAGCAAGAAAGTCTATACCTGCTTGCTAATATTGCATAAATGGGGATCAGTGAGCAAAACATACTTGCTTTAGTGTTGTTACAAAAGATGAATCAGCAAGGTTGCGAAGCAAGCAGAAACATTTGCACAATTTCGATTCATATGTTCCTTGTGTCGTCAATTTTAACGTGTCTTCATTACCTACAAAAGAATAAATCTTGACTTATTTTGCAGCAAAGAATCTTGCATCTAAAGCAATTAAGCATAAGAAAGTAAATTAAAACTACAAAGGAAGCTATTTGCAAAGTAGAGGGGGAAAAAACAACCAAAGCCATCAAATGATGAAAAAATAACCAAATGTAAAAGGACATCTATCATTCTTTCTTTCTTACTTTTGGATGGTCTAAATTTCACAGCATGTGTTATAAAATTCCAATATATTTGTTTAGCCTATTTCCTTTCTTTCCAGCTCAAATCCAATCAGTTTCCTCTAGGTTGAACAGCTATGAATCAACTGAAGGCGGGAAAAGAGAAGTAGAAAGAAAACAGGGGAAAAAAAAAGAAATCTGAAATGCAAAATAATGATGAAAACCAAATTGAAGTGTTTAAGACTGGCAGATTGGTCTTCCGGGCAAGTCTATGAAGGGTAACCTGGGAGTTTCTGAGTTCAAGTGCTGGTAACGACAAGCAGAAGCGAAGATTAGAAGCTTTTAAGAGAAACTTTAGTCTATAGTATTGACCTGGCCATTCCCATAACCATGATGACAACTAAGTTACCAGGTTTTAGTCCTGCAAGTTCTGCTATATAGGCACTGACTTGAACTGCCACATATACTGGCATCAGTTGCCATTGAGTATTATCAAGGAAAAATCCAAGGGATTCGAGTGAAAATATCTAGGTAAGATTTTTGTCAGGATAAATGATAATGATTTCTAAATTTTGGTGTTTACAAGCTTAATGACCTAAAATTTATCTATTGGTGTTGACAGGAGTCACTCTGCAAAGTTTCAGCCTTGTAAAGTAGAAAAGACTATTTCTATGGAATGGGGGTTCTCATGCTATGGTGATTAGGACCAGCGATCTAATGAACAGAGAGACATCAAAGGCATGGAGTCTTCTGCAAGAATGAATTTAGTACACTGAGAGTGTATCGTGACTCGTGAGTGATAATGGGATGAACGCTGAATGCTTCTTTTTTGGTGTCCCCACATAGAGGCGACCTTTAGCTAGGTTCGATGTGTGAATGGCCCTTAGCTTGTCACACAAGAAAGAACTATATAAACCCATAATTTTTGCAGAAAGCACCACAAAGATTTATTGTTTGTACAGGTCTATTTTCTGTAAGACTCAAGTGAGTCGGCCCTCCACAAAAGATCTGTCACTTTCCGTGGCACAAACCTCAATAAAGCCTTTTTCTCATCTAATCTGCATTGTCTTGGAAGAAAAACGAGCGTCATATCACCTAACTTCAATTTTAGCTATCTGCCATCTCATTTTGTTTTTCTACATAACTTCTCCACTTTCTACTGCAGAGAGAAGAATCATTCCCTCTCTGGCCTATTATCACGATCAATACGGCATCAGCAAACCATTTTCACTGGTAGAAGGTCTTTTCTTCCTACTTCCTCCCACTCGATCTCTCCTCCTTTCTCCCTGAAGCATAACTAGCAAACAAGAACCCATCTCCCTGAAACATACTGTTTAATAAATATTTTGCTTGCTTGAAAAAATAAGTACGTACCATAGTGGCACAGTCTATGCTTTGAAGAATGGCATTTGGATCATCGAGTTTTTCTAGTGCTATGTTAATAGTTAAACGTTTGATTAATAATGGACAGCATAAGCTACTGGGTAAATTGATTAGTAGACTTCTCAACCCAGGAACTAGGAATTATGTGAGTCTTACTGTTAGAATCATAGGATCAAACACTATCTTATAGATCATACCTGTCAGGGTTCAATACATTGGAAGAGTGAGATCTATAATTATTGGTGACTTCCCTTGCCCGTTCCAAATATCTGAAAAACTTAGAGAGAGTAGTTGTATCATTATGTGTGTCTCTCTCAACCAACCACTCTTCGTGAAGCTGGATATCTACATCCCTGTCAAAAATTGCAATGAAGAAATAATACTTGAAGATTTGAGTAAAGGTGTGGCCAAAAACAAAAATAAGGTTTGAGTAAAGGCGATTTGCAAAGAAGCATTTTCAACTAGCAAAAGCTAAAAAGCTAAGAAAGTGAGGCACAATAAGCAAAGATGAGGATGAAAATGTAGAAAGAAGAAACCCCATTACCTTTTTAAGGCCAGAACTTCATAGTTTCTTCGAAGGTAATCAGCATATTTTGTAAGGGCTTCCTGGGCATATGGCCTTCCTACAGTCCTTACAGCAGCTGCATTTAACAAAGTCTCCAATGTACCATGCTTTTTAATAAGTTTTAGAGCAGTCTTCCGACCGAAATCAGGGACCACATGCTGGATACCAGGAACACCATCAACTTCATCACCAACAATGCATCCTATATAATCATGGCAGTAGCTGAATACGTTTGAAGGCATCTAATTCAATTAAATTATAATGCCGTTGAAAAATCAAAAGGGTTCAAGTAATTTTTAAAATATAGAATTTATAAATTATTGAGCCAACAGAGCTGTTGCAGTGTTTTACATTGTTGATAGATACGTTTTTTTTTTTTTTTTGTCAAAGTTGATTGACATGACTCAAATAAGATGAGAGCCGCATCATTATCATATAATATAAATTAGTAATACTCACTAAGGCTCAGATCAGACTGTGGGTCACAATTATATTGAGCTCTGTAGTGCCTCAAGGTGTAGAAGGACCACCTGTCTAACTCTGGCAAAGGCATAACAATTTGCACATCTTCAGAAATGAGCTGTTTAAAATCCTTATCAGGAGAGGCAATCACAACACGAAAACCTCTAGTGAGAACTTGTCCAACAAGTGTGGCAACCACATCATCGGCTTCATGGCCATCAACTTTTATGAACTGCACAATTTCATCAACTCATTAATAAAACAAATGTGGTAAAAATAATAAGAATATCAAATCAATGTTTCACAACAACTATTTTCATGTTCTTCCTTTGAAAAATGCTAGAGAAGGAAATAGTATTGGCTATTCATTCATACTGATCCACATCTAGAATCCAATCATCATTACATGGAACAAAATAATGAATTAGGACGGTAGAAATTGAGGGAGCAGCTGTATATTAATGAATGAGGGCAAATGCATTGAGAAGTGCGGCAAGTCAAATTAATTATTAATTATTGTTATAATTCCTCCAACAAGTTCTCTTGCCAGGCAACCCAAATCTATCTCCACAGGAGACGTAAAGGAAGGGAGATAATGGAATTTTGCGCTAATCCCTTTATCTACATCAAACCATTATCCCTCAAAACCTTCACCATTATAAATGCTCTGACACACAGTCGTCCAAACAGTCAGAAAATACACCTTGGAAAGGAATTTTATTTTAATGAGTTAATAAAACATAAGTAATCTAGTGGATTTCTAGCTGTAGATTGAAATAAATAATCATTGATAACCATTTTGGGCTATCTTGGTATTAAGAAAAAAAAAGAAGTTGCCTTGTTTGTCACCTTCTTATCAACTTATATTTCCAATTGCAAATGGAAGCTAATATAAACCTGATGACATATGTTCCAACAGACATGTAAAACAAAAATCTATGCATGAGGACAAACTCCCTTCAATGTCCTCAAAAAAATGTAGTGTGTCAACAGGAATGATGATTATTGATGAACGATAGGCAGAGTTCTGCAAGCACATCTAGCTACTTTGATACCAGAAAAATCCCTATTCTTAAATATTTACACCAAATTAGTAACATTCATTAAAAGCAAATAAATGGCTTAACTTCTTCAGGTGTTGTACAGGTATTGAACTACGCTAAGCACAACTAACCTCACAGTAAGCTTTAAAGAAGACAATGAATGAGAACCATGACAAATTATTAGAAATTAAAAATCATACAGAAGCATGTCTAATATGTACTAACGAAATAGAATGACAATGATGGAAAAAGAACCACTCACTGGCACATTGCATTTTCTAAGAACCTCAGTGATCACTTGATGGGACCTCCCAACATGTCCCCTTGAAAATCTCTGTGAAGATGATGAGTGCTGCAAGAATTTTCTCCTATGGGCTTTGTATGAAGGTAGTAGTTGTCTGCGATGCTCACTACCCTTTTCTCCATCAAAAACCTGTTTCATTGTAATAATGAATCAACAGAAGTCCAAACACAAAACAAAGAAGATATGATAGATGGATAAAAACATTCATGAAGGTCTTAAAAATAAGAGAGAGAGAATTCAACAATGAGAAGAGACTAGATGCACAACAACTGAGGAAAAGAAATTCTTTCCCAAAACAAAGAAATGGAAAGTACAGATATCGGCTCAAAGGAGTTTTCCAATGCCATTAGTCCATTACACATTCACCAGGAATACCCCTCTAAAAAGAAGTCACGACAATAATTCCCTCCAAAATAAGATGCACTGAAGAAACTAACGATTAAAAGGTATTGCACTTCATTCCCCACAAACAAACCAAGACAGCACGCTGCCAAAAGACTTTACAGTAACACTTATACTAAGAGCATAAAGATTGTCATTCCCATTGAAATCTTTTTACATCAACACTTACTTGGTCATGCTCAACAGCTCAGGTGCCAAAAAATTATTTATTCATTTCTCCCTTTCAAAAAGAACTACCTGTTGTTTAATGCACTCAAAGTACTATAAATCCATGTAGAGATGTAACCCCTCCGGTGTAAAATATGTCACTTCTTCTGATAGCAATTGTTATCACTGACTACATAATCATCGGAAACTAGCCATTATATCCTACAGAAAACCATAGTCCTTTTAAATCGGAAAATGCATGATAAAGTATTAAAATATTTCAATAAATTTCCAACAAACGCAGACGCAAACTGAGGTATCAAATGACTTTCATGGAGCAAAGGGATATATTTTAACCAAAGGGTAAGAATTTATGGAGATGGAGAGATAATTACAGCAATAACAGGGTCGCTGCGACTGACTTGAGAGAGGAAAAGGGAGACCCATCGACCAAAGGAGTATAAGCTGGGTGTGTTTCCGTCATAGCATAGAGGATTAACATCTAAAAAGAAGACCCTTTTCTTGCTATTTTTTTTATCGTGACATTCCCTTTCTGGCAGCGATTGCTCACCATGCGCTTGATAAAAAGCCCGAGTAAAAGAAGACGACTCATCAGCTACAACCGCAGCACGGACCTTCCGAGCTTCAATTTTCTGAATGGTAGCGTGTGTCACAGATTTTTGAGTTGCAGAAGATAAAGAAGGAGAAAAATTGCAAGGGACATAAAGCTGAGTATAAGCAGCAGGGGACAGAGCAATGACTAGTGTTTTCATGGTGAAAATAGGCATTGAAGAAGCAGGGCTATAGGTTGATGGTAAACTTTTAAATTGCTAATTCTCTTGCTGTGGGCTCAAAGAAGCGATATGGACCAAGGTAGACTAAGCCCACGGCCCACCGTGAGGATAAGCACCGAGCAGTACATTTGTGCCATTATTTTTTTAACCTAATTATTTTATATGCAAGTCAATAGCATTTTCATTTTTTCTAGAGCGTGTGTGCGCGCGCGCCATTATTTTTTTAATCTAATTATTTTATATGCAAGTCAATAGCATTTTAATTTTTTCTAGAGAGAGTGAGTGAGTGAGTGTGTGTGTGTGTGTTAAAAATTCTTAGATATCTATTAAATGACTTATGGGTGGACCTAGATTTGCAATATAGGAGGGAGGGTAAAAACGAGGAGGAGCTGTTACAAGATCCTACAAGATATAGAATATAGAAGGCTCGTGGGTAGGTTGAGGTAAATATGTTAAAAAATGACAAGGCCTAGCATTTCTTTTTCTTTTCAGGTTGAGCTAGTGCATGCAAAATCCTATAAAAAACCACACGGCGAATGGGCTAAGATATTTGGAAAATTATTCATAACTCAAGATATTGTTAAGTACCAACAAAATCTCACAATTAACATGTTACTGTGATTTTGATTGGGCGACTTGCAATACCCTAATAAAATTTGTCATTAGGTATCTACTAAAATTTGGAGATACTTTAATTATCTCCTAGAAGACCATCAAAATCATCTACAGAAGCATAGTATGAGGCTTTGAGTATAGTTATTTCAAAAGTAATATGAGTACTTTGATAACAGGCCAACTATAAATATTGCCACCAATCCAATCTTCCATGATGAGACAAAACATATTGAAATAGTATGCCACTTCGTGGGAGAGAAGTTCAAAAAAAATTGATCAATTCTTAACATGTTAGATCAATAGATTAAGAAGTTAATGTTTTAACCAAAATTTTAAAAAAGAAATCACCAGAGGTTCATGTAAGTTGAGAACTATAAGCTTGTATAGTTTCAGCTTCAGGGGTAGTGTAAAAAATAGTTTGAATTATTTGTTAGTTAGTGTATTATTTTATTTTTGAAAATATCATACCTTAGGATTTAGCACCATAAATAAGTACCTCCTATGTTTTTTCACGCCACATAGATTCATCATATTATAGTAAGGGATGATATAACTTTCTAATCTCTAAATTAATTTTTAATTATCAATTTAACCTTTGAATTTTGACTTAATAAAATGTAGTTTTTGTAGTTTATTGAGTTAAAAAATTATAAAAATTGAATTGTATTGAGTCAACATGCTATACAAATTAAATTGTTTTAATTAAAAAAGAAGTTACAAGGACTAACGGCATGTTTGTTTTTTGTTTTTAAAAATTGTTTTCATTTTTTAAAACAAAAAAATTTAGAAACTCATTTGATAAGTGTTTTGCAATTAATTCTTTTCATTCTGAAAACAAAAAAAAATAAATTTAAGTTATCTTTTTATTTTTTTTTATTTTCAAAATATATTACATTTAATTACAAAAAATTACAGCTATCTTGATCAATTTATTTCATAAATAACTTGTAATCATTATTGTCAGTTTATTTTTTAATTTTAATTTTTTTAAAAAAATTAAAATAACCGAGTAAATTGTCTTTTTATTTTGTTTTATAAAAAAATTTTGAAAACTAAATTACAAAAAAATTTTAAAAATAAAAAAAGAACAGAAACCAAATACTGTAAGTTTTAATCTATCCTGATTCAAAATTTCAGGAATGGATCAAGAATTGAAAGAAAGTTGAATGACTAATAAATTAATGTTCCCTCTATTAAAAAATATAAGGTATTTTTTAATAAGGTAGATGTTAAAAAATGTAAGATATTTTTAGTCTTTTGAGATGTAATTATTACTTTTTTAAAAAAAATATCCCTATTAATAATGACTTTATATTTATTGTAAGGTGTTTAATCAAGATAAATATAAAAAAATAGAGTTAATTTAAAAATAAATAACTACTTTATTAGAAGATAAAATTTAATTAAAAATATTTTATATTTTTTTAATAAAGAGAATAATAAATTTCGGCGAGAAATAAATAAAATGAAGCCAACTTGAGAATTAAAGAAGATAGATACAAACAAAAAGGTTTGAATTTTCTTGGGTTGGCGAAAAGTAGTGAAAACCCGATGGATGTGTAACAGTAACAGGTCGTGAAAACCCAAACAATACGTGTGCCGGATCAGCAATCCGACCTCAATACCCGCCATTTCAAGTTGAAACGTAGAAAGCAAGCTACCAGATCAGCAATCCGACCCCAATACCGGCCATTTCAAGTTGAAACGTAGAAAGCAAGCTAAAAGCCGCCACTTTGTCTTGCTCATTTTAGGGCGAGGCACGTTAATAAAACACGCTTAGCAAAATCCAGTTGGCATCAAACCAAACACGTAATAGTAAAAACAATTACTTGGTCGAGACTCTACGTTGACTTGGAACCCTCTTAATTGCTTCTCGCCTCTGCTCCAATTTCTGTGTATAGCGTGTCACCAACGATCACAGTCCGCTCGCACAAACGTGTCAGCTTGGAATGTGAGGGGAGAGAGAGGGAGAGAATAAATGGGGAGGGTGTGTATTAGTTGTGCAAATATATATCACTTTCAAGAGCCTCAGAGTCAACGGTGCTAATGGAAAATTAAGTCTCTCTCACATCACATCCTCCTCCCAATCCGCCGGTGACAAGCATCTTCCATAATTATCCCCTTCTTCAAATTCTCCATCCTCATCATCCCACCTTCCAATTCCTACTATATATTCCCTTTGGAAGTTGGAACATAATAGAGGACATGATTAACTTATTTGCTATTTATACACAATGTTAATTTAAACATTAAATTATTAAAAATACAGACATCGTTTTATGTATAGTCTCATTAAATATCTTAAATCAGAGCCTTTATAATAATAATTAAAATTTTAATACATAATTTTTTTTAAAAAAATAATAAATAAAATAGAGATATAGTTAAAAAATAAATATAAAATTTATTCAACATCCTATATTTTAAATTAAAAAAATTTTTTGAAACATGTCTTATATTGTGATTTAAAAGAAATATATTTTAATATTCTATATTCTCTCCCGTCCTTGTTACATGACATTTCTCTTACTATTTCATTATAATTAAAGAAAGTTAGTTAATTCATTAAATTTGTATAAGAATGAAATAAATTCACAAGTTTACTCATATTTAAATAATTTTTTTAAATTTGCATAATTGATATCATGCCAAGTGCTTTGTATTAAGAGCCATTAATTTGTTTTATAAAATGTCTTATCATAAAAATACAAGAGAGTGCAGAGTGTTTCATAAATTTTTCATATATGTTAAGAAAAGTTGTTGGATTACTTTATTTGTTGAGAAATGTTCCAACATTCTAATTATACCCTTACTATTTAAAGGAATTTTTATCATCCTGGCCCAAATTACAAGGAAGTTATTAAAATTATAGCAGTAAAAATGAAACACTCTTTTTAATTTTATTTATAAGTTATTTTTAATATATTTTATTAAAATTAAAAAAGTTTAACTTTAAATTCTCTTTGAAAATTTAAAAAGTTTTTAATTTTATCCTTACCAAATATTTTTTTTCTCTGTGACATTTAATGGTAGTGAAAGAAAAAATTTGTGATAAAAAGTTAATGATATGTTTTATAAATAAAACCCAAAAAATTATTATTTTTATACCTTATAAATAAAATTGAATGAAATATCATTTAATCTCTTGACTTTGCACCTTATAATTTGGACCCACTTTTATTTTTGACAAGCAACTTACGGAGAGCGAGTATGTCTTAAGATCTTTAATTTAACTTGAAATTGGGCAAAATCTTTGTTCTTGAACTACAAATATAGAACAGAAAGTGGTTTTAGAACTTGATCACTCTCTTGGGTCTCTCATTAGGAATAGAGTAAAGGAGAGGGATTTCATTACTTGGTGTGTGGTTTTGCCTTTTGAGAGATTTCTGGTCCTACCCATGAGAGACCAATCAAGATCTTCATGGGAATCTAAGGAGAAGAAGAGATATGATGTCATAGGACCCAAAACTATTTCCCCTGTTTTTCTGCAGAGACAAGAAAGTTTAGGTTTTTTCTGTAGCAGTTGAACTAAACCTTTCCTAAGAACACAACCACTATAGGTCCCCCACCAAACCTAACCCAGACCCATCATCATCATCTTCCTTATTTTCACAGGCTTGTTATTAATTATTTTATTTTAATTGTTATTCTCTTTGCTTGCTTTCCCAAATGGCCACAGATCAAGAGTTCAGCTTCCCCGTCATTAATGACTCTTACTCTTCTTTCTCCATTGACTCTCCTCCTCTCTGGAATCTGTCTCCTGCAACCTCCCCAAACCCTTATTATGGAGGTCTCATCAGAGAAGAAGGCCAGAGAAAGAGCTTCTCATGTATAGAGATTGGCAGGCTAGTGAGCAATGAAGAAGAACAAGAAGACGATGAAGGGAAGCAGAAGATGGATTTGTTGTGGGAAGATTTCAATGAGGAATTGTCTTCTTCAAGAGAGAAGGTTGAGTTCAGAACTGTGGCAAAGAGAAGGAATAGTAATGCTTCTTCAGGTGCTCTGATTCTTCCTTCTAAGAGTGGTATTAGTAATAATAAGGATAGGAATAATAAGCCTGGCATGGTGGTGCTTGTGAAGGTTCTGAAGAAACTGTTCTCTATTAGCAGTTCTCAGGGAAAACCCAGAAAAAGAGTAATATAGCGTAGTTCTGTAATTATTTGGAAACTGGGATTTGGGGTTGTGAATGAAATTTTCTCTCTTTTTCGGCTATGTTGATTATTGATATTGGATTCACAAGAATTAAGAGTTGAGATGTGAAGGAGGACTCTGCCATTTCTAATGTATATATGTGAAATAGTAAATATAAATTATGGAGAAATTATACTACGTTTTTCTCTTCGGCTACAAATTGGAGTGTTCTTTCTTTGAAATGAAAATCTATCCACTCTGTCATCAGATTTTTCTTCTTTCAGCTTTCTTCAGTTTCAGCCAAGTTGATGAAACTCTGTTTCATACATCAAGTGGGGTCTAATGAACCGTAGGTTGAGATTGAGGTTGAGGTTTTGTTTTTTTTTTTTTGTTTTTGGAATATTGAGTTCAAGCGAGCCAACCAAAAAGTTGAAGTCAATTGTTTTTTAAAAAAATGTCCCCCCAATGCAAATGTAAAAGCCCAGTTAGTATCGTAGCCCAAAATGAGTGGGTATAAATCACAAATAGTTAGGTTTTGTATAATGAGACTATTATTCGATTCTTTTCAATGAGACCAATAGATAGTGAGCCAGGGAGATAAACCCAGTCGCATCACAGCCTAAAGTATTATGTACTTCCTTCATTCTACATTATAAAATATTTTAAAAAAAGTTTTTTATCTTAAAATATAAAAAATTTTATATAAATTAAGATTTCATTAAATATTTTAATTATAATATCATCATTTCTCTCTCTATAATTAATTTTCATTCTTTATATTTTCAATATATTAAATGATAAGGATTTTTAAAAGTTTATATTTTTATTTTAAAAAAATAAGATTATTAAGTATATTTAATGAAGCTTATTGGCATGTGAAATTTTATCAAAAAATATCTTATAATTTGGGATAGAGGGAGTAATATATTGACCACAAAAAATTTGCTATATAATAATACTTATTCCCTCTGTTAAAAAATATAAGGCATTTTTTGAAAAGTTGGATGTTAAAAAATGTAAGATATTTGTAGTCTTTCGAGGTGTAATTTTTCAAAAGTATTCTATTGATAATGACTTTATATTTATTGTAAGATGTTTAATAAAAGTAAATATGAAAAAATAGAGTTAGTTAGAAAGTAGGTAACTAGTTTATTGAAAGGTGAGATTTAATTAAAAATAATTTATATTTTTGAACAAAAGGAGTAAATGATATGAAGGATTGGGGATGAGATTAGAATTGAGATTAGATAATACCAAACTTTTCATTTTTGGTATGGGGGTAATGAGAAATCGAGTCTCATTCCCAATTCCATCCACATGAGATTATTTAATAATCCCAATTCCCATTCTTCATATTCCTCCCTCCATCACCATCAATCCTTCAACGATCTCTGTGGGAGCAAGGGATGACAAGAGAGCAATGAGGTTGCAGAGAGGAAGGACCATTAACCACAAAATGAATTGAATGTGGGGTTATGGATCCATCATTGGCCGCGATGCAAAGAGGAATGAATGAAATATATATTCATACTTTTTAGAAGGGCATTAGAGTCTTTTGAATTTTTTCGGTCAGAGATAATCTCTTGAAATTATAATTACATATATTAAATAATTTTCATTTAAGCATTCCCATAATACACCTAACATAATTCTGGGGGGACGGGAACCAAACATGATTTTTAAAGTGTATCCTCCCACTCATAATTACATTCGCAAATCTTAATTCCTTAAAGTTCAATAGCTGGTATCAAATTGGCCAATACTATCCCTTGCTAAAAAATTTTGAGTACGTAGGTACAAAATTCCCTCTCTTTCCGATTCAATCATGCTTATGTATGCTCGAATTTGTGTTTAAATATATGTATGTGTATTTAAATCGATTGTTTTTGAAAGAGAAAACTTATGATGTATTTAGATTGATAAGAATTTGGATTTGATTTAAACCAAATCCCTTATTATTTAAATATGCAAAAATTTATTAATTTGGATTATAATTCTTTTATAATTTTAAATTCTCTTTAAACCATCATTATTTAAAATCTAATAGCTCCAAACATCTTAGTCTTTTCATGTTTTTATTATTGATATCTCTATAACTCTTATATTATAAATTAAAAAATATAATTAAACTCATTATTTATAAGTTTTCTTTTTTATTTTAAATTTCAATTCATCTCTCTTTTTTATTTAAATTTTTTTAAATTCTATCTAAATAAATAATTTTAAATATATAAATTTTAAATATAAATCTAAATCTAAATCTAACCATCCACACGTTATCTCATTGTATTTATTTTTCTCTTGGTAAAAATAGTGAACGATTTACCTTCTTTTTTTAATATAATGGGCTGAAACCCACAATAATGAATTGATCGCTTCATATGCTATGAGCCTAAAAAGGGTGCCTTTTTTTATTTTTTGGGTAAATTATGTTTGATCATGGATGCGTGTGACTAGTAGGACCCGAAAAGGCCACCAAAAATTACTTGCCTAGTCAAAATAAGAGAGTAGGGGCATGGTGGTTTTTATTATGATTAATAATGTTCTTCGAACATATAATTATTAAAATGCAATTTATACAAAATAAGTGTGAAATTTTGTAGTAAAACAAACAAAACTCCAGGAACTCTGTGACTAAAAGTCACTTCCTCTAAAATAGATGATTTGGTCAGGGAATAAAAACTTGCTGGGGCTTTGTTTTTAATTTTTGGGTTAAATGGGGGTTAAACTTTCTTCTTCTTCTTATTCTTGATTTTTTACTACTAATTCCAACCCAAAAAGAAAAAAGTATAAAAAAAAACAAAAATCTTCAACTAATTGCGCATGCATAACTAACGTGTTTGATATCCACGAGAAAATATCACCAATATTGAGGCACAAAAAAAAAAAAAAAACTTGCCTCACGATTATAAGGACCTATTTGATTTTATTTTTATTTCTGGTTTTTAAATGCTATTTTGCAATGCAATTTTTAGGATTATTTTTGAGAAAAAGAGTAAAAAATAATTAGTTTGATCAGATTTATTTCAAAACAATTTTTTACTGCTCATACTAAGGCAGTCATATTGAAGGCATGAGTACAAAATGTGTATAACTTTTCCAACAAAAATTCAAATCACATTATAAAGATCGGCCCTTTCACCAAACTTAATATCTATTAGTAAGTTGTTAATGATAATGTTGTCTGACAATAATTGACCGTAGATAAGTAAGATAGTTTCGAAATTCCAGAAGTTAAAAGTAATATGGTTTGAAAAGAAAAGAGGAAAATAAATAATAATTAATTATTTTTACTGGTGACAATCTCTGCGTCATCAGCTGTGGTTGTGGGTGTCCGCTTTGGCAACTTCAACGGAGGATACGGCAACAAAACAATTGATAAAATACCGCTAGCCGCAGCGGCCGTCGCACCCACCACGAACGCCGGCAAGTTTCCTCCGCCAAACAACGCATCCCATGGTCCACTTACCACTGATACAATCATCTGTATGCAACATTAGGTAGGAACTGAACTATAACTTAGGGGGCAAAGTAGGCATATTCATGAAAGAAACGTACAAATTTCTGAAGTCTTTACCTGTGGTATCACAATGGCAAGGTTTAGAACTCCCATCGATAATCCTTAAATATCCAAACAAAATAAAATTGTATCAAACGTAGCGAACACGATCGAGTTTTAGGAATCAAATTCAATTAATGTGAACATGAGGGAGAGAAACCTGCTGCTCCGAACATGCGTGGATTATTCAAACAGGCAAAATTCTTTGAAAAATAAAAAAATAAAGCTGATTGAAACATCTTATTCAATAATCTCATAACGAGTTAAGAATTTAAACCTCCTGATATATTTTTGTTTAAAAAAAAATCATATTCAAGATATATACCTTGGCCAGTCCCGGAGGAGCTCGAGTAAATGGCTGCTAGAGCAAAAGGAACACTGTAATTAATCTGCAGAACATCAATTAATCCGGATCACTTCACTTTAGTTTTCTTCAGCATGCTTAGAATTAGAAAGCATTTCAGGCTTGGTTATAAAAGAACCAAACAAAAAGAAATAAAGAAAGCATTTCTGGCTTTTAAACTCCTATGTTACAAATAATGATGATTAATGTTTCAAGTATCTTAAGCCGCAAAAACTCTTACTCCACATGCTTAAAGACTTATATACAGATATTTATGGGAATGCATTGACGCAATTATAATATTTTCTTCTTTATTTTTGTTTTAAATGGAACCACTAAATAAAAATCATGTGTATTATACAAAAGTGAAAATATCAAATAGCGGGGCTATGTGCCAATCATGGTTGGTTTTAAGTGAAAGCAACTTATTTCTCTTAAATAATGTCGAGATTTAAAATCTTGAAAATGAAAAAATTGTATTATCAAAGGTTTTCTCAGTTTAACAATATTTAAATCTAGTTCACTATTATAAATACTAATTAATTGTATAAAGAAGATGTACCTTATTCCTCACACTGCATGCATGACAGTTCATCAAGAAGAGGAAAAAGAGCTGAAAACATTTAAATTACAGCTTTCCTTTTTTTTTTTTTGTCCCCGCCAGGGGGACATATTCTGGAAAAAAAGTTAAGAACTAAAAATAAACATGCTTTTAGAGTCCAAATTCTAAACCAAACAGACTTTGTTATATTGTTAAGTATTATAATAATTTATATTAGAAAAAACTTAAATACTTAGACTCATATATATTTAAAGTGCTTATTTTTAATTAGATCAAAACATGTATATTTTTTTTGGCAAAAAAACAATCTTTTATTTATTATTTATTTTATAACAAACTCTTGTTAATTATTTATGTTATTAACACATTAAAGACCACTTGCCTTGATTCAATTGGAAAAAAATAATGTTAAGTATACATGCTAGGTACCTAAATATTACCCTTTATGTTATTAATATAAAAATAAAAATTATAAAAAATATTTATGAAATATAAATAATCTTATAATGCCCTAAACCTCCCATAATTATTCCATTTGATCCTTTTTATATATAAGTTTTGTTAACCTCTTTTAAAGATCACGGGAATTTTATTGGTTAAAGTTACTTAAATATTAAAGATATTTGTTTTAATTACAACTTGTCAAAATTACTTTTAACCAAACTAAAACCATAATTTAAATTGAAAGATGAGAACATTTTTTAGAATGCGTGAATGATATTTTATTAAATTTGGACGTTAAGAAGACAAGGGATAAAATGCAGAACAGTTATTAAGCTAGTTAAAATAAGAGTTAATGATTATAGTATCAAGCTACGTAGTTGTGAACAAACCATTTCATAAACATGGTCTATGGTTAAACCAGTAAAATATCAATCCATAAGTATTTTTATAAGCATTTATAGAGTTTAGAGATATATTCTAATTTTGACGAGTTGCATCCGACCTAACTAAACTTTTTCTCGATCATAAAAAATAAATAAAATGCTGAAATTAATTGAAAATCAGTAACAGCTTACTGCGAGGGGGATGCCTAGTAGCATGAAGACTGCCAAAGCGGCGCCTTTAACACCGGCGGGCAGTCGTGGAGGATCGTCGGGGCCGACGGGGAACTGTCGTGATCGGTCAGCCAACTTGGTAACAAGCACTGTCGAGGCCAAACACACAGCAAGCATGAAGTTTCCGATCCCCCATAACTTCTTCATGCCTCCAAGCCCACGCACCAGTACCTCCATGCCCAGCGACGCCACAAGCAGCACCAGAGAGTTGAGCATAAGACCCAATGCACCTGCGCGCACGCCCTTATCGTACGCCTCACCTTCCCCAACCTTTCCCCCGTACACTTCCCTTCCCATCCAATCACTGTCGAACAACAAAAAGGGGAACCAAGCAATCCAGTTAAGACACGTCACCAGGAGTAAAATCCACATCGGCCTCTTGAGCTCCCGAACAGCACCCAACAGTCGTTTGAAATACCGTAAGCTCCCTGACCCCTCACCCACCGTATCATCCCCGTCATGCCGAAACGACGGAATTGCCCTGAGCTCCTTCGCAGACGTGAGAGCGACGATTGAGAGAATGAGCAGAAGAGCCATGGAGACGAAGAAGCAGCTCTTCAGGTTCGCGCAGTACACGTCACAGGCTTTGGTTTTCGTGAACGGAAACATATGGTGGAGCTTACTGTAGGATCCGGTGGCGTATCCAAGGACATTTCCGACGGCCATGAAGAACGAGTAAAACGCGTTCGCGGTCCGCGTCTTCCGGTGGTCGCCGGCGGAGAGGTCTGCCAATAGAGCTCTGCACGGACCTTGAATCATGTTATTGGCCACGTCGAGGATCCAGAATCCGACGACGAAGACAACGACGGACCGTGGCCGCGTTTTCTTATCCAGTGAGTCCCCGAACCGGTGGCCAAGATCAGCGGCAAAACCGATCAAGAGAACGGCGATGACGACAGCGAGTACACCAACCGCGATAAACGGGCGGCGGCGGCCGAACCGGGAGGTGCAGCGGTCACTGTGGTAACCGAAAATCGGTTGAAACAACATACCGGAGATAGGACCACAGAGCCATATAAAAGCAGCCCAAGTGTGTGGAATACCGAGAAGCTGAACATAGGGAGTTAGCAAGGAGAGCTGAATAGACCATCCGAATTGAATCCCAGCCGCAATAGAGGCGGCGGCAGCAATTTTCCTCAGAGGGCTTGGCTCTGGTGGCGAGGCATGAGGTTGAACGGAAGGAGAAGAAGGCTGAGAAGCCATGGGAGATAGAAGAGAGAAACGAAAGAAGCCAATGGAGTGTAAAGCATGGTGATGGGAACGAGAGAAGGACTGAAGTTTGTGCGTCCGGTTTGGCTGCTCATCACAGTGATCAGCACTATGATGACATCTGGTTGGTGCTCATCGACATCTGAATTTTTATTTTTATATTTATTAAAATAAAAATTATAAAATAATTTTAATAAATTTTTTATTTTTAATATGGTCTAGTTTAATTTAAAAGGTTTCAATTTAATAATAAAATTTTTATAATTAATATATATTAACTTTTTAATGTACTCTGTACAAATTAAATTAATATCAATTATAAAAATACTATGAGCTTGTAAGGTCGTTTTTTTATTGAGAGAAAGAGAGAAAATAGTATGAGTGAGGTGGTCCTCTCGAACGCGAACTTTTACCTGGCTGGAAATTTTAGAACAATCATGCAAAAATATCGACAGCATGACTTGAATTAACGCTGATTTTGATCATTGTGGCCTTCTGAGTCGTACGTGAGTGATCTCTTTGGTCGATTAATTGGCCAAAATCAATTGTGTACGTCTGTTCATTCATTTTGTTCTGAGCTTGAGCAAAGGATCATATATATTTACTCTGAATAAATGGGTTTCGATTCCATTCCAATTTATTTTGGTACTGCTGAACAAATGAAATATCCAATCTTGTATCACGACCTTGCAAGATAATTTAATTTGAAAATTAATAATTTTTTTAAAAAAATAGTAATTTAATCATTAAAAATAATAATTATTTTATATAAGTAGATTAAAATTATAATAATATAAGTAGATTTATCATCATTTTATATGATCTTTTATGTAAATATGTTCTTACTTATTTTATCTTGATCATTAAAATATTATATATTTAATAAGATTTTGAGATCAAATATTTTTTTATTTAATTTATTAAATGATACAAAATATCAAAATTAATGGGCGTAAATTTTGAAATTTACATACCACACTTATAATTTTTTTTCAAAGTGAGTGGTACATTTGCACACCCTTAAGCAATAGTGGCTCCAGCACTGCTTGCAGGTATTCCCCTTCATTTCCTTTTGTTTACTAGAAGTATTTGATTCTTATAATGGTTTAATTTTAATATTTTAAAGATTTGTTAGTTTTTATGAATTGTGGCACTATGACTATTTAAACTTTAAATACTTTATGATTTTGGCATCATGGCTATGATTGGATTATCGTACCATAGCTTTGACTGAATTATGGCACCATTATTTGATCATCCATGACTGTTTATTTTGTAATTATTTATTTAATCATCCTTGTCTTTGTAATCTTTAGACTTTATGTCATATGTATGTAATTAAAATAGACTCTTATTAAAAAAAATGAATAGAAAAAAAAAAGCTCAATTTTGTAGTCTTGTTTGTTTTAATATTAAAAAAAATGGACCCAATTTCAAGTAGTCCAATATAAAATCAAAAAACTGAATTAATTAATCAAAATTTTAAAAAAAATTTCCTCCTCCACTTTACCATACAAGGGGACGGGAGTCCTTCTCCTCCCCTTGTTTTCCAAACAAGCCTTAAAAGGGGGGAGGAGATACTTCAATTTGGATCCAATTTCTTTAGGCTTGAAAAATAGACCTAACTTTTCAAAATATTTGCATGGCCAAATAGCATCTTACTAAGCACAAATCCATGATCTAAATTTACCTAATAAGAAAAGCCCCCCTTCCTTCTAAGAATGGTATTGGTAATTGTTGCATTAGGATTATGACTTTCTAAAAGTGGAAAGGTCAATGAATGAAAAAAATGAGAGCTATTGTCGAGATTTTTTGAAAGCCTTAAAAAATTATATAATCAAAAAAGATTTCTATAAAAAAGGTTCAAGAGTTGATTACCTATAGAAAAAGTGTTAAATAGCCCACAACACCCATTTAAAAGAACAATCACCTTAAGTTAATTGCGTAAAATTAATTGACCTTTTAATAATGTCTTAATTATCCTTTAATAATCACATGCAAAAAATATGAAATATTAATAAAAATGAAAACAAATTATACATTTACATTGGAGGACTAGACCTAGAAGCAAAACCTAGAGCCTATGTACCCTATAATGGGATCAAAGTTTACATAGTTCAACATATTATTATTTAAGTTTTTTTAAAATCTTTTAATTATTTTCTTTTATGAAAGGATTGATACTTTGGGTTATTTTATTATATTTATTTTTTTGAATAAAATTTTTTCCAAGGAAATACCTTTGGGTAAAAGAAAATAATTAGTATTGAAATTTGTGATGATTTAATATCACACATGGTTCATTGGTGGACACTCTAAGTGCAAATGGTGATTTAATATCATTTATGACAAATACTAAATGAACTTTCAAAGTAAATTTTCTATAAAATAATTTAGTTAAAAAATTTTCATACAAAATTTGATACCTACGATGACTTAGTATCATTTACGGTATCTTGATTGATGCTTTTAGAAATTTACAGTGACTTAATATCACTCATGGCATAACTTAAAATATGTCAAGAAAAATAATTTTTTATTTAGAAAAATAAAGAAAAGAGGATTTCAAATTCGTAATTGATGACTATAATAATTTAGTATTACTCATAGTATCTTAATTAATGTTTAAAATATTCATGATGATTTAATATCACTCGTAAAGAATTTGAATTGGATTTATTTATCTTTTAAAAAAAGTGAGAAAAAGACTCATAAGAATTAGACAATTTTTTGTAGTTATTATTAAAAAAAATCACTATGAAGACTCACGGTGATTCAGTATCACTCGTGGTCATTGAGCGATACTTTATACTTTCAATAGACTTATTGTCTCTTACGAAGGAGTCTAAAGTAAAGGAAATTGAAATAAAAGGGAAGGAAGATGAAAAGGAAAAGATAAATGTGAATGTATGCATCAAGCAAATACAATCAAATTATTCTTATTTCAATGTTACGTTAGCATATGAAAAAGTAATAATAATACACACATAAGTGGGAGGCTTTCATTCAAACAACAGTCGAAATACAATCATCCTAATGTTCTATTCCCATTTCAAAGCATATACATACAATATTTACAGTAATAATAAATATAGGAATAATAAGGCCTGGCATGGTGGTGCTTGCGAAGATTCTGAAAAAACTGTTTTCTGTTAGTAATTCTCTGGGAAAACCCAGAAAAAGAGTAATATAGTTTAGTTTTGTAGTTATTTGGAAACTGGGATTTGGGGTTGTGAATGAAATTTGCTTTCTTTTTTGGTTATGTTGATTATTGATATTGGATTCACAGGAATTGAGAGTTGAGATTTGAAGGAGGACTCTTCCGTTTATGATGTGTATATGTGAAATAGTAAATATAAATTATGGAGAAATTATACTATGTTTTTCTCTTGGGTTACAAATTGAAGTGTTCTTTCTCTGAAATGAAAATCCATCCACTCTGTGATCAGATTTTTTTTCTTTCAGCTTTCTTCATTTTCAGCCAAATTGATCAAACTCTGTTTCATTCATCAAGTGGGGTCTAATGAACCGTAGATTGAGACTGAGATTTTTTTTTTTAATAACGACTTCAAGTGGGCCAAAAACTTATTGGTAAAATGATAGAAAAATCTTTTTGAAATATGCAAATGAAAATGAAAGTTTCATAAAATGTTATGATTTTTTTTCAAATCTTTAGATACTTTTTTAACAATAATAATTTTTAGTGAAGTGACTAAAATACTCCATTTTAAAATAAAAAAGAAATATTGATAAATACTTAAACTAAAATAGTCACTAATATCTATCTTTTTAGGACCAGAGTTGTTACTTTTTTATTTTAAATTGGAGGAATTTTTATCATTTCACTGAAAAATATTAATTTTAGAGTGATCCATTGGAACTTAAGAAGAATTATAGCATTTTGCAAAACCTGATTCTCATTTATATATTTTAAAGAGATTTTTTTGATTTATTTTCCCAAAATAATTTGAATCCCAAATGTACTTTAAATTAACTGAGTCAAAAATTAATTTTTAAAAAAATGTCTCCCCCGGTGCAAATGTTTCGGCCTAATTAGTATCATGGCCCAAAATGAATGGGCATCGATCATAAATAGATGATATTTTGTATAATAAGACTATATTTTTGGGCCAAAAAAACTATATCATTAAATTTTTAATTCATTGAAGTCTAAATATTATAAATATTTGTGATTATTTTAATTAAATAATCACTACTTTTTCCTAACAATGATTAGAATGATACAAGCACTTACAAGTTTTTCTGTGTAAATTTTTTATTCACAAAAATTGTAATTTATACAGGAAAAGTTGTAATGATTGTTCCATTTTAATTATTATCAAAAAAGTAGTCATTACTTAAATTAAAATATTTACTAATGTTTACTTTTTTTGGAATCAGAGTTATTACTTTTTTATTTTAAATTGAGAGTATTTTAATTATTTCACTAAAAATTATTAATATTAGAAAGATCTATAGGGATTTGATAAGAATTGTGACACTTCACAGGATCCCATTGTCATTTCTGTATTTGATAGGGATTTTTTTTCTTACTTTCTCAAAATAATTTGAGTTCCAAGTATAATTTAAATTATGAATGCAATGGGGTTTTTTTTTTCCCACCAGTGCATATGCATAAGCCCAATTAGTATTATAGCCCATTTCGTATAAGGAAACTATATTTTTACGTCGTTTTCAAGAAGCCCAACTGAATAGTAGGCCTAACCAAATAAATCCAATCGTGTTGTAGCCCACAGTGTGGTGCAATAATACCTATATGTTGGGAAAATTACAAATAGGTCCTAATTAAGGGACTTATTTGAAAGTAAATATCATGAAGTTTTAAATACAACCAACTTGGTTGTATTTAAAACTTAATCTTTCATGTAAAATGACATAAATATCCTTGAACTCACATCCCTTTGGATAACATAGACTAGTGTTATCTGAGGGCCTGTGATTGTTGATTATTAACTAATCATCAGCCAAGATTGACCAATCAAAAAATTAATTTAAAATTTTTTTATGAATATTAGTAAGTTAATATTTATAAAGAAATCATCATCACAAATTTACAAGTACATCTTCAAGATTTAAAGTTAAAATGTCTTACATTTACTAGTTAACCTCTTACAATATTAATACTTTAATATTTAAAATTTAAATTTTGCAAATATACTAGTCAAATTTCTTAAATTTACAAGTACATCTATCAAAAAAATTAAAACTTTGATATTCATTAGTCAATCTTTTAGATTTATAAATCAACCTCATATATTTACAAATAAATTTACATAGTTTTTGTATTTGTTTTTTAAATTTTACAAATTGATTTACAAAATTCTCAGATCATCGTCCTATTTAATTTACAAGCAGGCTATGTATTTCTTTTTAACCTTATTAGGTTACAAAATTTCGAAATTTAGCTTATAGAATTAAAAGGATGTCTTATGAATTTAAAAACCTGAATTGTAAATCAATTTGAAAAATCGTTGCATAAATTCACCTGTAAATCTACTATTTTGACTTGTAAATATCAAAACATTAATTTCTTAGACATTTATTCATATTTTTAAAATGTTTGACTTGTAAGTTTGCAAATTTTGATTCGTGAATATTAAATTACTTATATTATTGTAAAAAGTTGAGCCTTTGAGTGTAAATGTAGGAAATTTGAACTGTAAATTATAAAGATTTATTTACAAACTGAAATTAAAAGAGATGAGTTCAGGGCCATTTGAGCCTTTTACAAAAAAATAGTTATTTACAATCAAGCCCTATAAAACATAGATGTATCAAATTTGAGACGTAGTTATAAATAAATTGCTAATGTCAAACCCATATCTAATTTTTCAAAAATTAATTATAAAAAAATTATATTTTTTTAATGAAAAATTAATATTATCTTTTAATTTTATATTATTTCTTTTTAAAACATCGTCTTTGGAAGACGTCTTTTGTTGTCATTGGGCCAAGAGGACGGTGACAACTTTTCTTATGATCTCTTAACTCCCAAAAAAAAAAAAATTCATGTCTATTTTATAAAACGAAATGTATATTTCAAGTAGGAGAAACGAGAATAACTCAGGTTAACAAATAGAAAAATATTTTACAAGTTGTTTAAAATAATGGTTTTTTATTTAAGCATGTGCAACGATGTTCTTAACATATTATAATCTGAGCCAATAATCTCAACACCCATTTTGTGAGAAGCATTTACTTTCTCTGCAATATGCATTTCTCGTCTTTTTCAGCCATAGTAATTTGCATAGTGCATAGAAGACGAGGGAATAGGTAATTAATTTTCAATTATTTTTTCTGGTGATCGACTCTCTCTTGGCCAACTTCACTGGCGGAGACGGCAAAAAGACAATCGATAATATGCCGCTCATCGTAGCTGCGACGGCGCCCACCACAAATCCCGGCAAGTTTCCGCCGCCGAACAATGCATCCCATGGTCCGACTGTCAATGACACTACCAACTGGGCGTAGAAAACCAGATAACATCATTAATTATAGGAGTTAATTGAAATTTTTTTACAAAATTATGAAAGAAACTTCAAAATGTCTAAACTAATTACCTGTGGTATGACAATGGCAAGGTTTAGAACTCCCAAAGATAATCCTAAACATTACAGACATAATATGAAGAACAAATACGCAATTTTTGTTGGAAAAAAACAAAACAAAACAAAACAAAACAAAGGAAAGAACACCCCCACACAGACACACAGAAATTCTCATGCAACTTTGGCTTCGAGATACGTGCATGTGATGAGATGGGGGCATATTACTTATGCGAATGAATTGAGGCTAACCAAAGTTGATAAAATAAACTTAATTATTCAATATTTACCTTGACCTGCTCCGGAGGAGCTGGAGAATATGGATGCTAGTGCGAAAGGAACACTGTAGGTAACCTGCACATCATCTATACATATCACCTGGCTTTTTTAGCTTATATAAAACAAACACACACACACACACACACACACAAGCGTTATCAGATGTAAATGTAGAGGAGAGTGATTTTCAACTATTATACTATCCATTTAAAAAAAATATAACTTTGAATCCTTAAACTTTACTCGCATTTTATTATTAGTCCTTATATTTTTTTTCAGTATTTTAGGTTCCTCCATTTTTATTTTTTTATTATTTTAAGTTCCTTCATGAATAAAGTATAGAAATAATAAAAAATAAAAATATTTAAATGTAAAATACTGAAAAAAGTGTAGAGATCAATAACAAAATGTGAGTAAAGTATCGAGATCTAAAGTTATGTTTTTCTATCAATTTATATAAACTTTCATGTCTAATGGCAATGGGTTGCTTCTTTCAAGTACCAGAGTTTAGAAGATTCTATGATAGCCTATCTTAATTAAGTGAAAGGTCTTTATTAGAGATAAAGAAATCAAATTTCCATAACTAGAAAATAAAAGATAAATCAATAATATATGAAACTTAGGATGTGTCTAATTAAATGGCTTAAATTATTTTGGTGAATTAAATTACTCTCAAACATATTTAATATAAAGAGTTTAATTGTCTTGTTCAATTTTACTTTTTTTTGTCCTACAGGTGAATTTTATTTGTAATGATGGTTGGGTTAGTTTTACTATGATTGTTGGTTTTTTAGGAGTTGATTTCAATCTCCAAATGGTTGTTTATCCTTCTTATTCACAGGAAGTTTTCTTTAAGCACCAAATAATCTTGTTTGCTCTGTATGTTTATGCCTCGTAGGCATTTTGTTCCTTGATTTGATTTTTGTTAAGCTACGATCTATTCTTTCCGGTCCTTATCCTAGTTCTAAAATGTTTCAATTTTTCACTTGTCTTAAAAAATTATTACATAAAACTTCATAAGATTTTAATTTTACCTCTAATAATTACATAAAAAAAAAGCTACACAATTTATGAGATCACTATTTTTTTTTTTGGTCCAGCTATGAGATCGCAATTAAAAGTAGGGTAAAAATAAAAAAATTATTTGGTATTTGTATTAAACTAAACACCTTATGATTTGAATTAAGGTAATAATATAGAAAATACCCAGTATGAAGGGGAAAAGGGAGTAGGTAACTCTTTGTAAGTTACTCCCTCCATTCAAAAATATAATATATTTTTTAAAAAGTTAAATATTAAAAATATAAGGTATTTTTAGTATTTTGAGGTATAATTATTATTTTTTTTTAAAGTATCCTTATTAATAATAATTTTATATTTATTATAAGATATTTAATAAGGATAAATATAAAAGGATAGAGTTAGTTAAAAAATAAATAATTATTTTATTAAAGATAAGATTTAATTAAAAATATATTATTTTTTTAAACGAAAAGAGTAGTAACTAATAGTTATATTTTGATTCCCATCCAATTATCACGTCCAACAGAGAGTGCGTTATATATATATATATATAGACTGATAAGAAAGCATAGGCTATAAAAAAAAAACAAAGAAAACATTCACGCAACTATAATATCAGTTCAAATTAATGAACAAATAAAACTTTCTTAATCAGCTTACTGAAACAAGATTTTTTTTCAAATTCTCATGGCGCTTAAAATAAAATAAAAAACAGAAATCACGTCGCACAAATTAGTAACTCACCGCCAGGGGAATTCCGAGTACAGCAAATAGCGCCAAGGCGGCGGCCTTGACACCGGCCGGCAGTGGAGGAGGTTCGTGGGAGCCGCCGGCTAACAGCCGTGAGCGCTCGGCCAACTTCGTAACCAACACCGTCGAGGCCAGGCACACAGAGAGCAAGAAATTCACTATTCCCCATAACTTCTTCAGACCTCCAACCCCACGCACCAGCACCTCCATGCCCAGCGACGCCACAAGCAGCACCAGAGAGTTGAGCATAAGACCCAATGCACCGGCGCGCACGCCCTTATCGTACGCCTCACCTTCCTCAACCTTTCCCCCGTACACATCCTTCGCCATCCAATCAGTGTCGAAAAACAAAAAGGGGAACCAAGCAATCCAGTTAAGACACGTCACCAGGAGTAAAATCCACATCGGCCTCTTGAGCTCCCGAAAATCACCCAACGGTTGTTTGAAATACCGTGAGCTCCCTGATCCCTCACGCACCGTATCATCTCCGTCATTCCCAAGTGACGGAAGTGCCCTGAGCTCCTTCGCGGACGTGAGAGCGACGATTGAGAGAATGAGCAGAAGAGCGATGGAGACGAAAAAGCAGCTCTTCAGGTTCGCGCAGTACACGTCACAGGCTTTGGTTTTCGTGGACGGAAACATATGGTGGAGCTTACTGGATGACCCGGTGGCGTATCCGAGGACATTTCCGACGGCCATGAAGAACGAGAAGAACGAATTCGCCGTCCGCGTCTTCCGGTGGTCGCCGGAGGAGAGGTCAGCCAATAGAGCTCGGCTCGGGCCTAGAATCATGTTATTGGCCACGTCGAGGATCCAAAATCCGACGACGAAGACAACGACAGATCGTGGCCGCGTTTTCTCATCCAGTGAGTCCCCGAACCAGTGGCCAAGATCAGCGGCAAAACCGATCAAGAGAACGGCGATGACGACAGCGAGTACACCAACCGCGATAAACGGGCGGCGGCGGCCGAACCGGGAAGTACAGCGGTCACTGTGGTAACCAGCAACCGGTTGAACCAACATACCGGAGATAGGACCACAGAGCCATATAAAAGCAGCCCAAGTGTGTGGAATACCGAGAAGCTGAACATAGGGAGTTAGCAAGGAGAGCTGAATAGACCATTCGAATTGAATCCCAGCTGCAATAGAGGCGACGGCGGCCATTCTCCACAGAGGGCTTGGCTCCGGCAGCGAGGCATCAGTTTGAACGGGAGGAGAAGAAGGCTGAGAAGCCATAGGAGATCGAAGAGAGAAACGAAAGAAGGCAATGGAGTGCAAGGCATGGTAAAGGGATGGAAACGAGGGGTGGACTTAAGTTTGTGAAGTCGTTATCTTGGCTTTTTGGGGGGAGAGAGAGAGGATACCGTGCGTCAGTGCGTGAGGTGGCACTCTCGAACTCTAATCATGAGCATTTAGACTCGTGATCTCTTTGGTGAATTAATTGGCCAAAATCAGCTGGTACTATTCATTCATTTTGTGCAGAGTTTGACTAAAGGATCTAATTGGCTCCATGAATAATGGGTCTCAGTTCCATTCCAATTGACTTAGGCACCACTGAGCAAGTCAAATATCCACTATTTCCTATGCATATCACAACTTGCAAGTATTTCCTTTCTTTTTTTTTTTGGTTTACCAGAAGTATTTCCTTTCACGTGACTTATTCGCGCTCAAGTTTATATTACCCGACATGTCAGTTAATTTAGTACATTGATATGACATTACTTACGATTACCCGCAATATGACGTGAGGTTATATATTCTTTCTTTCTTTTCTCTTTTTGTTCCCCGGCGGTGTTTCACTGTCTATAGCTAGAGTTGGGAATTTAAATGAGAGTCCGACCAAGTTTGATCTTTTAAAAAGTTTAAATAGTTAAACTTGATTTAAATTTTTTTTTCAGATGATTCTAATACCTGAATTTTATTTTAAAAATTATTTTTAATATATTATTTTATTTTATAAAAAATATAAAATATATTTTTTTGATATTTAAATGATGTATAGAACTCAAATATATGATATTTTAACATAAAATGACTTAAAATTAAAAAATTAATTAATATTTATTATATTTTATATGTTTTTTAAAAATAAATTTTTTTATTTGAGTATTTAGGCTTGGCCCAAATTTTTTCGGGCTAGCCTGCCTAAACATAAAAAAACTATAATTTTTTAAAGCTCAGTTTTAAATTTTTTTTGAATTGGTTTGGATTAACTCATCAAACTCAATTCGAATTATCAGTTCTATTTGTGACATCCACAACGACTAAGGCTTACTTGAACAACACCACTGCACCAAGGTGAAAGGCACCTCCGTTTGGACCTTTTTTTTTTTTTTTATGTGCCTGAAAAATGGACCTAATTTTGAACGCCATTTAGCGTCCTACTAAGCACAAATCTATGTTCGATGTCGATAAAAAATGCCCTTCTTAAGCTCTTTGTTCGATGTCGGTTCCACAAGAAATGGCCCTTTGAGAGCTGGACAGATCTTGAGCCTCGAATTGCCATATTAAAAGCTTGGGACAGCAACCAACGGGGTTGAAAGTTTGGTCTAACAAAAAAGTTGGTGTGTTATACTGTAAATCAAGATTTAAATCTCAATTATAAATCAATACTCACTTCATTTAAAAATATAAAGTATTTTTAATCAAATATTATCTTTCAATAAAATAATTATTTATTTTTAAACTAACTCTATATTTTCATATTTATTTCTATTAAACACCTTATAATAAATATAAAGTCATTATCAATAGGGGCATTTATAAAAAAATATAATAATTATATCTCGAAAGATTAAAAATGCTTTACATTTTTAAATATCCAACTTCTCAAAAAATGCCTTATATTTTTAAATAGAGGGAATAGTTACATTTAAAATTTAAATATTTTGTTTATAATTAAAACTCTTGCATTTACAATTGTTTCAGTTGATGCTTACACAACTTATTTTCTTAGAAGATTTTTTCAAGGAAGCAACCGTTGTTATTTTTTTAGATGATTTTGTCCAGGAGCTAGCTGTCATCAATTTTATCTTTTAGAATTTAATTGTTTTTCCTTAAAAAGTTAAAATAATAAAAGCACTAAATATTTAAAAAAGGTATAAAATTACTAATCATTTTCATTCATGTTTAGTTGGGGGAAGAAAGAAGTGTGATGCATAGAAAAATTGTCACAGTGAGAATAGAAAATATACAAATTTTAGTTGAAATGGAGTGACATGAATTAATTCACCTCATTCTTAACTAGCTTCTTCATCAGCTACGTGATCGGCTGATCGCTTCAATTTTGTTTTGCCCTTGCGTACTAAAGATATAAATAATTATTTAATTTATTTTAAAAATGTGTTATTTCTGGATATGTTTGCTCTCTTCCTTTGATTAATATGTGAGAAAATTTTGGACGTAGGTTAAAAAATATACTTTCTACTAAGTTCTTCCGCGCATAATTAATTGAATAAGAAAATTTTTTCTCCAAAAAAATATTTCTAAATCTGTCATTGGTTGTCCTGTATAAATTAAAATCTAAACATCAATTTATATTTTGCAATATGTTATCCTCATGTATATCAATAAATATAAATAGTTTTTTTTTAACTTCTCAACCCTGTAAATTAAAACATAATTAACTTAATCTCTTTTAGAATATGTTTGCCCATGCATCCTCCCACGAAGAAACAAATCCCGTAATGTAATAAACTATATAAAATATTTTGTCATGATAGTGTTTATAAATTACAATTATAGCTAAAAGTAAAAATGACTAAAAATTATGTATATATTAAATAATGATTTTAAATTAAGTAAGTATCCTAGTCAATATTATGATACTCCCCCTATCCTTTATATAAGCCACTTTTAATTATCTTACTGTAGTTAAGGTCATTAGAGTTGTCGGTAACATCTTGAATTTTGGGGCCTAGCAACTCAAGAATATACAAGAATTCAATAAGCTATTAACCTCAAGTAATCAAGAGTCTTGCGCCTTGGAAAGTTAGAATAATTTTTAAGGACTAACTTGTGATTTTAATGTTTCCTTGGAAAAAAGTGTAATATTTTTAGAGATTTCAAAGAAATGTTTGGAATTAAGAAATGGGGAAGCTAAAGTTTAGAAGCGTATAGGATAGGCTAAAAAGGAAATAAATAAAGTCTAACAGGGTAACATAAATATTTAAAATCAGTCTTAAAGCATAATTAATAAAGTTGCTATATTAAACAGAGATAGAGTTGTTTGATAACGTTATCTTTATGTCTTAAGTATTTTCAAGAAGGATTGCGGTTAGATCCTAAGAATTATAGTAGATCTCAAAAAGATTCAGTAAGATCACTGTTAGATCTCATGGTTGCAATAAACCCAGTAAAAAGTTATTGAGTCACAGAGTATATAATAGTTCTCTAGAAAGACAATGGTCTACGATGAGTTTAAAATATAAAGACCTCTTAAATTTTACTAACTATTATTGAGAGAGTATCCTTAAATTTTTCTTAAATAACTCAATTACTAATTAAGCTAAGAAAGGAAAGAGAATAAAAGCAAGTAAAAGTAATAGCATATTTTGAACTAAATGGTAATTATCAATGTTGAAAGATAATTATATGTACATAATATGATGAAATTATGAGAAAATACTCAGAGTTAAAAATGAATAACACTAAACATTGACCCGAAAATGTCAAGCTCAACTGGGTTCAAAATATAATTTTTGAAAGTTTGGGGTCTTAAAGTATAATTACAAAAAATTACTCAAAATTTAGGAAAAATTTAAGAAAATTATAATATGAAAGGAGAAAATATTTGGAAAAACTATACCAATTTTATTGTTTAGGATTTTCTCAAAAGAGTTGCTTTACAATTTAAATTGTATTAGGTTAAGATAATATATCAATTTTCTATATCTAGAGTTTAATTTATTAAAAGTCCAATTTGAGCCCAATTGTAAAGAGGGTGCGCCACTTTTGGATCAAATTAGGAGAAGGAAATTCATGTTTTATATAGCCACATATTAGTAAACAATATTTTGGAATTAAGGAAAAGAAGCAAGTGAAAATTGTAATTGGTGGATTTGAGAAAATATTACAATTTCATTAATATTTCCACTCAAACCCTATAATAACCATTTCGCCTTCCTCTTTTTTTGGTCAGACCAAGGAGAGAGGGGACGGAGAATTTCTAAGCTACTTCCACGGAGGATGTATAAGAGGTTTAAAGAGAGTAAAGAAAAATCAAGCAAAATCACCGTCAAAATCACATTTCTACCAAAAACTTCCTTCATAAAAGTTGTTCTACTCTTCAAGAGCAATAATCCTATAGTTTTAGATTCTTGAGAGGAGGAGTTTGGTGTAGTCAAGAAGAGTGAAAGTTGGAGAATCCAAGAAAAAATTATAACAAAATAAAGAGATAAGCACAAGCTTTATTTTGAGTTAAGTATCTTGTGATTTAATTAAGTTTTTATGAAGTTGTGCTACTGCCTTGTTTTTGTTATGAGGAGAACTTAGAATATTGATGATATTAAGATCATGGAAGTGATGTTGAAAGAGGTTTAGCCATGATAGAACAAGAATTTAGCAAGCTTTGTGAAAATTGAAAAGCTTGAATTTAAAAAGAGGTACTGTCTAATTTTCTTCAATATAAAGCCATGAGTTTAATCAAGTGTAAGTTCATTAAACATGATTTAAAACCTAATATAAAAAAAAAACATGATTTAAAACCTAGCCTTGAGCCATGTAAATATGAAGCATGAAAATAGTTTGAAAGAAGCCAACTTATTATAGGGTCTTAAATACCCATAATAGCTATCAAGGATGATTCAAGAGGAAAGAGGTTGAATTTGTCAAATATAAGTTTAAAATGAGTTCCTTATGAAAAATTAAGTGAGGAATGACGGTACAAGAATTTTTATGCCAAGGAAAGTTTTAACACCCTCAAAAATACAAACCGATTTTTCGCAAATTATTAAAACTATTATCATGGTAGAAAATTTTCTTACCATGATACATCCAAGACATAACACAAGTCTTAAAATATCCAAAAAGGTAATTAAAACCATGTGGGACAGACATAATCCTCATGGCATGATATTCAAATCAGATCATAAATCAAGAGGGACAGACATAATTCTCTTGGTTATATAAATACTTTTAATAAAAAAGATTAGAGTTTACATGTTTCACAAAGAAGATATGTCCTAAGTTGGCACAAGATACATTGTATAATCTAAAATAAGAGGCAACGTAAAAGATGGTATCTCATACACCATAGTTACACC